TTTCTTTTGTTGGTCGGATGAAATATGCTAATTTTTTGAGATAGGGATTTTTGATTTTTCTTTACTTTTTTGCCAAAATCACCAATTATAAAAGGCTTGAACTACTTCAGTTGGTGTGCAATGAATCTAAAATATATGAAAGTTTAATGTTTATCAGTACATTACAGAAAATAATGAACTTTATCACAATATGATAATTTTTAAGAAGGACTTATATTAGCGGAAGCTAATTCTAAAGCGCAGGTTTAATTTGACACTTTCTAGCTGGCTACAATTCATGTACAATGCTGCCCACTAGTGGTGTATGAACCCTTGTACAGCTCATTAATGCTGGGGGGTCTGATTTCCTGGCAGAACTTTGGCTCCTCTGTGTAAAAATTTAAAACTTGTTGAGGCTTGCTAAATCGCTGATTCTTTAAAAAGTTGCTGAGGATTGCTATTTCGGCATCTTCTTTGTCTTTATCTTTTGTTTGTTGTAGATTTTTCATTAAAGAAGCACCACTAAAATAATTTTAAAACACTTTTTATTGGAAAACTGAAGCGATGCATCCTGGGTACATTTGTGACGGGAAATGAAAGCACGGAGAACAAGAAACTACTAGTATCTTCCCTTCAAAATAAGAGCTTGGATTTTAGTTTTCCATGTCTCCATTGGATTCCAGTTCACCTGAAACTCATCAGACTGAAGAAGTTTCTTGGAGGAGAGATGAAACATTTCACTAAAGAAGAACCCATCCAGAGGACCTACTTATTTTTTCTTTTTGATTTTTGAGATGCATGATGTTTTCCATTTAGTTGCTCCAGTTGACCACTAGATGTCACTTTTCATCAGCATAAGTCTATAACCCCGTTGCTTTGACCAATTACATCAAGTATTGAGGTCCAGCGTTAAAACTTTTTTTTTTAAAAGGGCGCGCCAATTGGAACGTAAAATATATCAATACAAACAAAATTTTAGTATGGATTACAAACGTTTACTATTTTTGCTGGGAAAGGGAGTTTTAAACATTGCCTTCCTGCTACGTAAACAGACACAAAGCATTGTGGGAAATGTCTGTAAAATGTGGATCCCTGCTGGCTACTGAATATTGTCTTTTGCACTGTGTTTATTATAATTTAACAGAAGCCATATGAGTAATTTAGATTGCTGCCAGCAAAAATACTTTGCAAAGCTGACCTACTAAAATTAGGACCGACTGAACCGTGAACCAAAGCGACAGTCAGGAAGGACGTATACCTTCCCAAAAAAAATAGTGTTTAGCTAGGAGGGGTGCCGTTGGATAGAGCACGTGTCATGAATGCTGACGGTCATACCTTCCACTGTTCAAGATAAAGATAATGATGACCAGTAGATAATTAGTTATTAGCGAAGCTGCAATTTAAATTTAAAAAAGTGCAAACATGTTTATGAATTATAAAAATTAGTAAGACCACTAAAGCAAAATGTTTAGGTCTGCGATTAGTGCTTTAGCAGACTGGTGCCCACCACTGACTATAGCAAACGGATTCCATGAAAAAAAATCTGCGAAAGACTAAGTTAGCAAACTTTGAGGGGGTTCACAGCACAACCAGTGATTACTTTCTGCAAATTTCAATAAAATCCACATTCTTTATGAGCTATTCTAAAGACAGACAGAAATTGTTCGCCTTTGATTTTCAGTGGCGGGCGATAAAAGACTCAGCCCCCTGAAGCTCAGACTGAAGTGGATCTGTGCTTATTTCTGAGAAACAGTAACTGGATTGATTTCCAATGAAAGTGATTGAAAGCAGAGCTGAACATTTTGTTCCAGTGTGACGACAGCACTCAGTCAGGGCCTCTGACGCCCATCATCGAGTTCTGTTCCCACACCCTGCTGCTCAGCGCAGCCACAGATACGTTGTGTCATTTACGGACAACTCAGCCATCTTTTCAGGCAAAGATTTGTGCTCTAATATTAAAATGGAAAAAAAAAATTTGGTCTGGATAAGTTGCCTTTGCTCTGCAGAGCCAGACGAGTTGGAGGAATAAAAAAAAAAAATCCTTGAGAAGAGATGAGAATATTTACCAGATAAAGAAGCTGAGTTTTCTTCTTCACTGTCGTCATCATTCAAACACATTGTGGGTTGTTCATCAAAAACCTTTCACAAGCCAGAGAAAACACAAATATCAAGTGTGCCTCTCAGGATTGTTTTAAACACAATGAATGTGAGGCAAATCTACACCAAAGCATATTTTTATCCCTTATTTACATTTAAACTCACATTGTCCACCAGCAGATTCTTATCCACCAGCTTCCTGATACCTGAGCAAGAGAAAAAGAAACACTTAAGCCCTGAAGTGTGTTCTGAATGATTCTCAGCTACTACCACAGCAGGGTTTAACACAATATCTGTAAAACTGACTAAAGTAAAATAATATAGTAATATATAGTAATATAGTAATATAGTAAAATAATTTCTGAGTTTACTAATGTGAGGTGGCTGCAACATCCATCCCTTCATTACTTTCTGGGAGTTTCCTTAAAATTGTTACAGTGATTTATGGAATATTTTGTAGCGGTGTCCCAATACCAGTATTTCTCAAACCGAGTATAAGTATCCAGAGTACTTACTGAGTTAGAACTTAAACATTATGACTTTAAAAACACATTATTTATTTAAAACAAGGTGGCTCTCCTTTCTTTCTTGTAGGCTTACAGCTCCTCTGACTGTACCAAAACAAACATACAGCATGATATTTAATGCTGCAGTACTTTAAAAAATAAAAAATACCAAATACTTGCTAAAACAAACCTTTTTTGTATGACGTGAAACAAATACAAAGTTTGGTTTTGAGCACAGTTTGAACTGTTTTGAGGCAAAAGTTTGGTTTTGCATGAAGAAATTCTGTGAAGTAATTTGAAAATTAGGTTTTGTGTTTTCAGATTAGGGAAATAAATGGATGGTGCTCATGAAATATTTTAATATAATATAATAATTTTTTGGTAAAA